AAACTCCTAAACCGTGAAATCCGAAAATATTAGCTAAATAAATTAATAAAATAAGGTTTCAAACCCATATGGATTATTACTACTTTCCTTTCCCAACATCATAAGTTTCGTCAACGGTTTAGGAGTTTCGTTGACAGCTTAGGGGCTTTGTTCACGATTGGTTAGCTTCAGCCACTACCGCCCCAAAATTATTAATATTAAGTAACGGATCGTGTAACAATTGGGAGAAATTTTTATTTTTAGTTTTTTATTATTCTTATAAATTTGCCCCAAATTTTTCTTTATTGTGATATAATATATGATATAACTTAACTAAATGATTTATCATTATTACAAATTGCTTGTGCCGAATGATCAATGTGATAAATAATAATTATATTATTATCTCCATTCAATCAACAACATCAATAACCAATGCTTCAATACTTTCTTTTTTTCACACAGAAACCTTGAACTAGACAATCCCGTTCTTGTTCCCATTCGGCAAGTATATCCATCGGGTTAAATTGCGGCTGTGCTAATCTTGGAAGTCGCTAAAATATTTTTTAAAGTGCTGAGTTTCCCAACAAATCCCAAACTCTATATCTGAATTTTTTGAACCTTATAATAAAAACATGTTTTAGTGATTGTCAAGAAGTTGGCCAATAAATATTGGCAAGTGGATTTTATAAAATTGTTCTAGCGTTGGAAGTTATGATTGGCCATCTGGAAAGCAATAAAAACTAAACCACAATATACGTAGAACCTGCGTAAAATATCAGATATTGTCAAAATTGTGGATTTACATAGAATATACATAACGATCCTGTCTATAACGAACTGAGATGTTAAGCCTGATTTTTTATTAATTAAATGTAGTTTAAATTCGATAGGTCGGTTTTGGCCCCCTTTTTTTTACTATTTAAAAAAATTCGATAAGTCGGTCGATCTATATGAAGTCGCGATAAGCGCCAAGTCGGTCAATCACTTAATATTAAGCCAATTATAATAATTAAATGAATCACGATAAGTCGGTCTCACGTGATATTTCATTGTTATTATGTGAAGGGTCATCATTACTATTTTAGTAATGCGTGATTTAATAATTTTTTATTCGTAATATTTCGTCATTTACTGACTGCATTAGCAAAATGATTATTTTTGTAATAAAATATCTGATGTAAAAAAACCATCTTTGTTGTTCTTTGAAAGAAGGAAGCATTCTCACTCGTGAACTACATTCATATTTTATTTATTACCTCCATCAGTTATAATGCATAATCACACATCCATTTTTTCTTGTCAAGTAATTTTAAAAAGATAACTTTTTTCGCTTTAATATTTTATTATCTCAGCAGTTGTATCATCGATTTTATCGCTCATTTAGCATAAATAATGCATTGATACATTATTATCTCATCAGTTATATCATCAAGAATTTAGAGAACATTCTTGTCTAATCATGAACAATATACATTGTATCAGGGTTGGCAAATGTGTGGTCCATAGATGGTCTATTGGCGGTCTATTGGGTCTATTAGTGTGACAATTTAACCATATTTGGTATTTTATTAATGGCAATGGACCAGTCCAAAATCCATCTGTTCTCAATGGATCAGTCAATTTTCCAACCCTGCATTGTATGCCTTAACTGACAATAATTCACATGACATTAAAAATTATGGGATTACTTCTATTTGTATTAGAAATCAATTTCGATTTTTCCCATTCAAGTTCTTTATAAAATAAAATATTTAACTGCTTTAAAAAAAAGGGCGCCATTTCATGCAAATATAGAATTGTCAAATGCTTTTCATATTGGCAAGAAAAGTCCTGTTGCTGAAATTTTAAAAGATGCAATTGATAATGACTCTTAGAAAACCAATAAAAGAATGAAGAAATTTGACATATGATGATATTGGCACTTAATGTAAATATAGATCTTAGTAAAAGAAAAAGAAGGATCCTCCGATTTTATATTAGCTTTGACATCTAGCTCCTCCTCCTTTTACTCAGTGACATCACTATCTTTAGGAATGTTCTCTAAAAACATGATGGTTGTATAATTTCACTTGAAATGTCATTTTCATTCACAATTAATATGAGAATAAATACATTATGACCAACAAAGTTTTTAAAGGGCTAAATTTATTAAAAAAAAGATTGTTCTTTTTTGCAGCCAGGATGAATTTGCACAAAATCTAATTTCCCTTATGAAAAATAATGAAAATAGAGATTATCTACCCATCAACAATTCACCCAATTCTCCAACTTTAACCTTATTATCACAAATAATCTAATGGATTTCAGTTAATTAATAAACTATTTGCCTTATTAAAATTATATTTCATGATTTAATAGGCTATAATTACTTAAATTCAATTTAACAAACTCATCACTTAATATCCTGCTTGTATGATATGCTAATGGATGTGGTTTGTAAATTTGTTTTGAATTACTACCACCACCAATATTACTACTACTACCTTCATTAGAACTCCCAGTTTTAAGTTTATTAAGAGCAAATTTCAAAAGCTCTCCAATAGTTGGTCTCTTTGCTGGATCCACATCCAACATCTTTGCATCAATTATGCATAATCACCAGGCACTCCTGGTAATATCAGTGGTCGTAAACCTGCACATATTTTTAATTGCAAATGAAAATCATGTGCTGTATCATTAAATGGTGGATGTCCTGTAAATATTTCCCACATTAACATCCCAACACTATAAACATCTGATTCTTTTGTGCGATTTTTTCCTCTAAATAGTTCTGGTGCAATGTAAGGTACAATTTCATAGATTTTATTTGATAATTTTTCATCAACTGGTCCACATAATCCTAGATCTGTGATAAACAAACACCTCCTTGCAATAATATCTTTTTCATGTATAAAATATAATGATTCACATAAATATCTAAAAATATCAATTCTATCTTTTGATGTTAAAATATAATGATTCACATAAATATCTAAAAATATCAATTCTATCTTTTGATGTTAAATTATAATGATTTTTTGTATATAATCTCTTAAATTTCCTTCTTTTACATAACTAAGAACTATTGCATAATTTCCATTTTCTGGGAATTTAGTTATACCATAACAAGGAACAATTAAATTTGATTTAATTTAGAATAATTCAATAAAGTGATTTAATTTAGTTTATTTTAATAAGAACAATTACCTCATCAAAAAAAGGTTTTCCTGGATTACTTGAATTATTTAATGATTTTAATACTACTCGCTGAGCTCCAAAATAATTAAACTCCTTTTTGTTTTCATCATAACCAAAAATTCTTCCTTTTGTCCACCCAGCAGTATAGATAGAACTGAATCCACCTTCTGTTAACTTTTTTATATTATAAAATTGTTCATAAGGTATCCATTCTATAATTCGAGTTGGAAGAGATGAAAGATGTTGACATTTTTGAATAAAACTATCAATTATCTCATTTCCAGATGTCCAAGTACTGAAAAGGTTCTGTAAGTGTAGACTAATGCACTTTTCACAATATTTATCAGAGTATCTTTCTGCTTTACAATTATTGCATTCTCTTGGTTCACCAAGTTTATGAATTGCATTATTTAATTCGAAATTATAAATAAACCTTTCCCTACAAAATTCCTTTTCATTTTCTAATAATTTTTTGTATATATTAATATGTTTTAAAATGAGCGGAAAATTCAGTTGTGTAATTTTCGGGCTAATCAAATTTAGAAATTATCTTTGATGATTTAGTGGTTTAGTCAAAATGTCGAGTATTTAAAACGACAATAATCAAAAATCAACTTTATTATAAACAAATAAATAGATAAATACACTTAATGGACAAAAGTATTTGCAATTATGCAAATAATGGCATTAAACTCAAAATTTTATTATCACTATCACTTTTGTATATTAAGTAATATGAAAACTATTAAAAGATACTTTAATTGTAAATTAAACCTGGTTGGCAAGTTTTAACATAATAAAAAAGTAAAGAATCTCCTTCCTGATTTTTACAAAACCCAAACATTCTGATTGTTTGTATTCAATGGTATGATGCAACCTTTAAAGCTTGACATGCAAATTAGAAAATGTTTGCTGATAGAGTTGATGTTGATACAGTTGGTATTTGGGTATGTCGAGAAACTTGAGAAACTAAAGTATTATTAATACGTGTTATATGATAATAATAAATAAATTTCACGTTATCGAAAGAGCTCCTCATCTTTGAATCAATATTTAGCTGATACCATTTTGTTCCATCATAACTTTCTACTTTAAAAATATTGCAATTAAAACTACAAAAAAAATTTTCGTATGTGTATGTTATTCCTTAAAGGAGTCTTTGTGGAAATCCTCTTTACAACCTACATCGACTACTTCTATACTAATAACTTTATTGTCTTGACTATACAAATTTTTCTTTTGAACACTGATCCTCTAAACTCTCAGGGTAAACGTTTCGCTCATATAATTGTGTGACTGAAATCACCAAATTAAAATCATTCACCATCAAAACCTCGTAATTTTCAACATGGGAACAAAATTAATAAACAGAAAGGTTTGTAAGCCTTCTCCAACATTACTTTTATTATATTATTATTATTGTATATTCTTTTTAATTTTTCAAAAACCTCTTAGGTAATGGCGGCGGATCTGATTGCGCATCTTTAATACTTTTAAATGAATTTTCCTATATTGATGCATTTTACAATATCATTTTAGAAAAACCAAAGATCCGGGTCATCAAATACTAGTTATACAGGTATAATTTGATATTGTACATTTTAAAGATTTACTTGGAGGACTCGAATAGTCAAAAAATAAGTATAAAGTTTAATTTAATATTTTTCTACTCAAAAGCGAATAGACAATGAGGTTTTCTCTGACTATCTCGTTTTTATATTTTCGGTCTTTTAATTTTATTGATGAGAATGAATCATTTGTGAAGAAGACGCGTGCTTATGGTCACGGATAAATAAGCACAGTAACGACCTTTGGTCGGTCACGTGACATCGAAGTTTATTTTAAATCTCAATAGTCAATGATTGGATTTTTATTCGATCAATCGCGTAACCTTTAGTACTATTTAGTCTTTTGGCATTTGATTCCCGAAACAAAAAAATACTACTATTTTATTTTTTGCAATTATTCTCTCTATCCTTTCAGTAAAAAGCTAAACTAACCTGTAGCCATAAGGATATGATACAATTGAGGGATTCAGGGTGGGTTGGGGCTGTGAATCTTTATAAAATTGTATAGGATACTTCGTTGAAGGATCTCTTGTAGTTTCTCCTATGGTGCGTCTGGTTTGTTCCGATATGGTCATAACGGAATTATGAGCGAGGCAGCTGATTGATCTCCAAAATTAAGAAGGCCACGAAATAAACAAGTTGTTAAAGATAGTCCTTATCACACTGCAATTGGAGATCAAAGGATGTAATCTTTCTTGGTAATTCTATTGATTTACAAATGTCTAAGTTGCGACTATCTTTGTAGTTATAGTTAATATTTAAATTAATAATATTAATGTTTGCTATCATTCAGTGATCTTCTCACCCCAATCGTTTCTCCTGTGTTTGAGACATCCAAGTGAATTAGTCATTATATGGCACGCAAGATAATAAATTAATTCATTACAATATTTTTTTCTTAGTAAATCTAAATTCACTAATAAAATTTAGTTTATTTATATATAACAGAATTGGGAAGAATACATTAAAACTCTTCAAGATTAAACCATTCTTGGTGGATGAATACCATTGAAAATTAGCAGAATGGTTATAGGTAGGGTCATTGATCTTTGTCCATATTGTTCTAGCTTTTTGACTCGAATATACAAATAAATATTCTAATTCTCAAATTAAATAAGCAGAATTTTGTTACAACTGTCGGTAGATTTTGATCATTTCACTGCCCGGGGATCGTCATCCCCACCATGCGGATAACAAACTGTGGCATCATAGCATAAAAAGATTTAATCATTGAAAAAATTTTTATAGTTATTTCTATTTAGAGCAATGATGCAGATTATTTATAATGTAATAAATTATATATATCACACAGAGCTCATTGTTAAATTTACACATTTTACTTGGCAGGTTGTATGGGAAATTAGTTCCTCAACTGCTAAAACTTTTCAGCTACGAATTGGATGACAAGGTGGAGTTTCCACCGAGGTCTCGTAGCACTACTTGTTAGGACATTATGTGGTCTTTTCAAAATTTGTTTCATTTGTGATGGTCTTAGTATTATTATTACTTGGACGATTCAATTATTTTCCTTTTTGAATAGTCTTAGTATTATCGAGAAGATATTGCGGCTAACAGGTTATTAATAAATTAGGAAAGGTTTTTACTTTGTGCATTAATTATTGTATATACATGAAACTAAGTTTGCAGTTAAGTCGTGACTAGACTTTGATCATGGTTAGTAGATTTCGGCCAGAACCGCGTTATTAAAGATGGTGGCGATGTCTAAGCCTTTCACTTGGGAGAATCACTCCAAATCAGTCATGAATTCATTACTTGAGATGTTTGAGGAATAATTGAGAAAGGAAAGGTAACAAACGAAATTTATTTCTTTCAATTTGTAATATGGAATGTTCTCAATTTCATTATTTATTATTATTAGTTATCAATCTACAATTAATTAAAACCATAGGATGGTGACATAAAGTAAATTAATAAATAAATACATACATACGTACATACACACACATATTGAAGCTAACGATTATGGAAGTGTGACGTGGAGAAATTCCTTATGAAGCTGGATTTTTATGAAGATAACCTTGCTAAGAGAGCATGGCGACGGATAGCTGCACATGTCTATGATCCACCTAAATAGAAATAGCAATGTATATAAAATCATCATACTAAAAAATAAAAAAGCGAGTTATTTAGTATTTTGGCACACAAAAACAAATGAATTTATAATTTTTATGCCAAATTACTAATCGTGTTTCAACGTGCGAAGCAAAAATTTTAATTCGAAACTCGCGACTCCTTATAATTAAAACCATCACATATAAAAACATAATTTTATCCTGAAAGATTACATAATGCTTTAAAACAAAACAAAACATTTTAATAACAATAAATTTTTCGTCTATACCCTGGATTTTTTTTTTAAAAAAAATAATAGAAGCAAAAGAAATTTCCTGTTAGAATTATTTCGTTTATTATTTTATTCGAATACTCGATTCACAATAAAACAAATAATTCGAATAAATCTTATTCAAATAGGATAGAAAACCCAAGTTGAGCAGGCTCTAGTTAAAACCTGAACTTTCAAGTTCAAGAAAATAGGCTCTTGAATTGTTTTTAGGTAATGGATTGCAAAAATATCATGAAATACGTACGTAGTATAATTAATCTAAAAAAATTTTTATCAGTTATGTGACATCAAACTCAAGTCGAGCTGAACGTTCAGTCGAAACTTTACTCTTAGTATATCTTAGGCATTGGCGCTGTGATTGATGCAGTGTTAGAATTCTATTTGTATCTCAGCATCTCAAGTCAACATTGCTGCTGTAATATTCTACTTTTGTCAACAACACCCATCTTGCAACACCCTGCATACTGACAAGGAACCACAGAGTAAGGCCTGATTGCAAATTGCGGCCCAGATTTGTATAGTTGTCTATTCCAGACACTCATTAAATCAGGGAAGATGTATTATAAGAAAATTGAAACTTCTATTAATAGTGCTAATTAATTGTAATTCAGATACGAATATAATTTTAATTCTGATAAACTCTTTCAGTTCTGATTTTCTGCCCAAGGAAACAAAAGGACTGTTCAAATGCAAGTTTTAAATATTCGTCGTGACATCATAATTACAAAAACATCGAATTCATCTTCATTTGCTGAAAATTGTCAAAGACTAGTATAGATGATTTCTTGTGGCCTTAAAAGAACTTTACATAGATAAATTTTTAACTATGAAGGAAAAGATGGCGGTGTTTTTGTTTTAATACGCTCTTTAAAAAGAAAATTAAAAATATAGGCAATGAACAACAATTGAAAAGAATCAGGAGTTTGAGGTAGGACTTTGAATTGGTTATAATTATTGTTTTTTGGATCTGAGACAATGAGGATAATATAAAGTTTTAACTGAATTCAAGGAAAAAATGACGTCATATGTAAAAGATTTTGGGTTTACTTTTTTTTTGTTTTTATTCACTCATATATACTATATTAAAATTAAATTCTGAGAAGAGCAAAGAGTTATTTCAAAAATGGCTAAACAAAAGCAAAATAGAAGATAATTTAACTCTAAAGGTAATATTAGAGAAAGGATATCAAGGAGATTCAATAAGTCAAAGTTGTTATGATTATTATGACCTTAGTAATCTTTCTCTTGATGAATTAGTCAATAGTTGAAATGAATTAACTATTAACACTAAGACAGAACTTAATAAAGTGGTTAAACAAAGCCAAGAATATGAAGTGGAAATTAAGGCATTAAAAGCAGAACAAAAAGAACTGGAAGCAAGAGTAGAAGGGTTGGAAGATGAAGTATGAATGGAGCAAGAAGAAGCCAAAAAGGCACTAAATGTAGCTGTGAAGTGGAGAAAGAATCAAATGGCTGAAGTGGTGTTGAAGCATGACGCAACAGTGGGCAAACTCTTAGGTTGAATAGATTCATCGGAAATTAATTTGTTGGCTAAAAATCAGGAAATAAACTGAAGGAATTACTAAATTTTGATCCCGGTAATACCAATGTTCACTTTGGTTTTGTTGCAGTATGCCCATATATAAATGTTCACAATTATTGATCAAATATTCATGGAGAATTAATACAAAAAAAAGTCCTAATGAATTTTTTATGCAAGACAATTATCATTATGCATGAGCAAACTTTAAAGAGCAATTGCGGCTGATTTTTTTTTTAAAAAAAAAAGATTTGAACCTTCAATTTGTCATTTCAATTAAACATCATGTCTCAATTAACAGACTTTGAACAATTGGGATGTTGGGAAGCAAATGAAAGCATTTGTGACATTGCTGATGCACTCAATCATTTTCTCAGTCACAAGTAACTCGTACAATAAAAGCATTTAAGATCGAACTACTATTGCTCTTCCAAAAAAAATACAAATGAATTAGTTTCTTATTTAATGGATGAGTGTAAAGGTGGGAACCGCAATTAGTTGCAACTAGTCGTGATTAATTGAGGTGTCATCATTAGATGAATGGGCTAATCTTGATCGTGATCATTTGCAAAAATTAGAGACAGTATGCCTCAAAGGGTCCAAGATGCAAAAGGAAATCTGACAAAATATTGAATAAAAGAGTGAAATATTTATACTTTTTCGATATTTTTGATATAAATTTAATAAAGGTTTATTATGTAAAATATTATACAAATTGTGGATAAAACTTTTTTTCATTATTTTACGTTTTGTATTAATTCTCCATGAATATTAATTATGAATATTTATATACATACATTTGAGAACAAACGGAACAACATTTTCTAAGTTCCCAAGATGTGTTAAAACATTGTCTTAAAATAGCTCTACTAAGTGTTACTTTTTCGAAAAATTTTTAATTTGAATCATAATCATAATAATAAAATTAACAACAATCGGTCCAACGTGATATTTTAGAATGTTATGGGAATAATTTCAGCGAACATTTTCTTACTAATGCACAACATCGATTTGCTTGGTAAAAAAAACGAGTATTTCGATTATTTTTGCGGATCATCGAGTGAGTCGATACTAACACTTTTTGTAGTAGTAGGGTGTGTATCTCAAAGAAACAAGGATTTAATTGCGACTCATTGAATCGCATCTATGTAATTCAGCTCAAAAAATTTCTATTTTTTTTTTTTTTTTTGCGAAATATACTTTAATAAATAAATTTTTAAAAAATTCTCCAAAAGAGAGTTGGAATTCTTGCAAAGTGCTAACTAAAAATTTTGATGTGATATCTTTTTTTATTCGATTTCCTTTTCCAAACGAGAAGGAGTGATGATTGGGATTAGAAGTTGGTGATGATCTAGAGACACTTGATTTTTCAGAGAGAGCCCATCAGCCACGGAGCAGATTACCAAATAGAATTAATTAATAATCTATTTTTAGATCTAGCCAATTAAGTTCAAACACACAATAATTTTAAATAAATAACCAAGTTTTTTATATAAATAAAAAAATAAATAAATCTATTCTCTCACTCTCTCGAAATATATATATATTTTAAATTCAAAAAAAAAACAACCTTCTTTATATCTTTAAATATCCAATTTTTTTAAAAAAAAATGGTAAATATTTATTTTACTTATTTATTATATTCATTCATTAATTTTTTGCTAAATGAT